AGCTCAATTAGATATGGAAAATTATATTTAAATATCTAATTTGAATTTTTAGTATTTCATTTATTTTGTGTTAATTCTGTTATTCCAGGGTTATTTTCAGTAATTTGTAGACTGGCCCAGAAAAGATTTAAAAAGAATTCAACTTCAGTTAATAACATTATCTTTATGTGATAAAAAGGTTCTGCTCTCCACAGGAGTCACAGTGGAAAAAAACTCCCCCACGCGCAAATAATACTGAACTTGGGAAAAAACTCTTCACAGCTGTAAACATCCACATCTGATTCCAGCAAACAAGGACCAACTCCTTTCACAACCCAACTTTGGCTGAAAAAATGCTGAGGTCGCAGAGCCACACGTGCCAAGGGTACAGACACTGACGAGACAAGTCCGATGAGGTGGCAAGGTTTTGGGTGGTGCTTTTTCTCCAGTCACAAATGTATTCTGAAGATTCAGGAGCATGATTTGGTTTTTCTTTTTTCAAAATGTTATGACATTCTGCCAAATCTTCCATTAGGTCTGCTGAGACCACAGATACCGATCACATTTTTCAAGCATGCTTTGTATCAAGGCTCTGAAATTCCAAAAAGGGGTAAAAACCAAGCAAGTTTAGCTATATTGTTCATTCTTCACAGAAGACTTAAAAATCTACAGAGACCTAGCGAATTCAGTAAGCAAACTGATCCTGTGCATCAAAACCATAGTCTGAAATCAACAGTCTGAAGACAACCTACGGAATGGGAGAAAAGGACAACTAACCTGATTTTCAAATGGGTGAAAGGATTTCAATAGTTATTTCTCCAGAGATACTACACAAGTGGTCAACGAGCAAATGAAAAGATGCTCAACATCACTGATCGCTAGGAAAACGCAAAACCAAACAACGAGATCCTGTCTCATATCCATTAGAGCTACTATTATAAACCAACAAAAATGGGAGCCAAAATAAACCTCTCCTGAAAGAAAAAAGAAAAGGAGGAAGAAGGGAAGGAAAACAGAAAGGCAGGCAATAAAGGAAGAAGGAGGGAAGGAAAGGAAGGAAGGGAGTCTTAGTTACTTTTTTGTTGCTGAGACAAAATACCCAGCACCCGAAGTTAAAGGAGGGAAGGTTTATCTGGCTCCCAGCCCGTAGAGGTTTCAGTTCACGGCATCGGAGGCACCAGCCAACCGTGGCAGCGTAGCGTTACAGAGGAGAAGCAGTTCATGGGACAGGCAGCAAGCACCAAGCTCCGAATGACAAGTGATGACCCTCTTTCTGTCCTCTGTATCTTATCCAGGTTACCCACCCTCAGAGCAGGTGGCACTCACACCTTTAATTCTAGCATTGTATCCCTGATCCCGGCATCTCACACCCTAATCCAGCCACCTCTACAAAGTCCCACATATGGCTGCATGAGGCTTTGGGGATACATCTAGACATAAGCCCCAACAGAAGGAAAAAGAAAGGAAAAGTGTGAGTGTTGGCTAGGACATGGAGAAATCCAAGCCCTTGTGCACTGTCAGTAGAAGTGTAAAGTGGTACAGCCATTACAGAAAGACAGAATGGAAATTCCACTTCTGTATATGTATCCAAAAAAAAGCAGGGTCTCGGGATGCTTGAGCACCCATTTTCAGAGCAGCATTATACATAACAGCCATTAGAGGAAAGACCCCAGGAGCTCTTTGGTGGAGAAAAGAATAAATAAATGTGCTACACACGTACAGTAGACCATTATGCAGCCTGACACATGCTACCACATGGATGAATGTTGAGGACATTGTGCTGCAAGAAGTATACCAGTCACAGACAGACAAATACAAGTCGTGCACTCCTAATCCAGAAATTCAAAACTTCTAAGAAAACTTGGGACTTTGGAGCATTTCAGATTTTAGACTTTTGGATTAAAGATGCTCAGCCAGTAAAGTGTATGTAAATATTCCAAAATCCAAGAAACACTGAAACCTAAAACACAAGTAGTCCCAAGAATTTTGGATAATGAATACTCGATCTGTAGTGCATGATCCCACTATGACGATGTGTCTAGCACAGTCAAACTATAGAAATTACAGTGATGATGGGGCTGGGGATTTAACTCAGTGGCAAAAAGCGCCTGCCTGGCAAGCGCAAGGTCGTGAGTTCAGTTCCCGGTACCGGAGAAAAACCAAAAAAAAAAAAAAAAAGAAATTACAGTGATGGTTTCCAGGGAGTCGGGGTGGGAGAATGAAGAGCTATTATTTAATGGGAACAGTGTTCGACTTTGCAGTGGCAAAGTTCTGGAGATTGGTTGTACAACAGTGTGGATGTACTTGATATAACTGAACTGAAAACAACAGTTTAGATGATAAATTTCATGTTATGCTTTTTTTTCTTTCTCATTTGTTTTTTTGTTATGTGTATTTCACCGCAATTATAAAAAGAAAAAAACCTTGACTGAGACAATTAGTTATCTGGTATCAACCATATTCTTAAAGAACTAAATATAATTACATTTGGGTACTTGCATTATCTGGGTCATGATCCTGAATGAAATGTTACTTTAGCATCCTAAACAGAATCACCCCATGACTGTCTCCTCAACCCACTTAAAGCAAGGTGTCTGGTTGAAAGTTGACAAGAAGTGGATTGTAATGGCTGATACATTGTGTTCATTTGAGAAGTTTAAAGTTTAACTAAGGGACACAGCAGGGAGCCAGGGTTCTTTGTAAACATCCTCATCCTGTGCAAGAGAAGGCCCAGAGATGGCGTGAGTGCTACACCCGCCCTGGGAGGCGGGGGAGCCTGCTTACAATATAGGGAGGAAAAGAGGCCTGCTCGTTTTTTGCTCTTGCTGCTTCTGCTGTCTTCTCCAGCCTTGAGCTGTTGCCTCTGTGCAATGCCACCCCGCCCTGCAGCCAGCTGATACGGACTGAAACCGCCACAAACTGTGAGCTAAGTAACCCTTTCCCCCTTTAACTTTGGGTGTCAGGTATTTTGTCTTAGCAACATGAGAAAAGTAACCAAGACAGAGAGGGACTGAGGCTGTATGATCTCTAAAGTCCCACCCACCTCTGAAAGTCTGTCAGGTTCTACGTTCTGTAAGTACCATGAAGAGGGCACGACAAACTGGTGTTACCTCTGCCTTTTCTCAGCAATCCTCAGGATATCGCAGGTTCTGGTAAACTTCTCTGACAGCTCAAGGGCCAGACCACATTCCTGTAGCAGGGACCAGGCCCGATCTGGGCCCATGGATTTAGCTAACAAGAGAGCCACATTCTCCATGCTGACTGGGGAAGGCCCATCGCTGAGGCTCCCATTGAGTGATTCCTGGGGGGCTGGCCTTGTGGTCTTGCTCTGCACGAGATGCAGGAGAAGCTTCCATTCCTCCACAGTCTCTGGGATCCAACCTACACACAGACAGAGACACGACGTCAGCTCTGACCACTCTTTTTTTTGGGGGGTACTGGAGATTGAACCCAAGGCACTCTACCACAGAGCTACATCTTCAGTTTTGGGTTTTTTTTTTTCCTTTTCCTTTTTAAATTTTTTTTTTTCTTTTTTTAATTTTAAATCACTACATTGTTTTTTGGTTTTTCTCCGGTACCGGGAACCGAACTCACAACCTTGCACTTGCCAGGCAGGCGCTTTGCCGCTGAGCTAAATCCCCAGCCCCAAAATCACTACATTGTTTAGGCTGGCCTTGAACTTTCGATCTGCCTGCTTTAGCCTCCCGAATAGCTGGGAAGATAAGCATGTGCACCACGACCACTCTTAGCACACTGCCTACACATAGGTGATCAAAGCTGTGAAAACATTTAACACCAAAAACTAAAAACATCAAACAATCTCACTGCCTCAGCACAAACTTTTCTGAACATCTAATAAATTGTTCATAACATACCGAAATCATAAAATTACCTTCACTCACCAAGTAAGAACCCATAACATACTCTGTGATAGACACTGGATTTGCAATGATGAATAAAACAGACACAATCCCTGCACTCTTTACAGTCTGGTAAAAAAGACAACATAAACATCTGAATAAATATATACTTATAAAGGGTGCTAGAACTGCACTATAAAAGAAAAGAATAAGAATAACTAAGAATAGCTATTTTTGTATGTAGGACCTGAGAAAAACCCTATGAGGAAATGGCCTTTAAGGAAAAACTGAAAGATAAGCTCAGAGAACATGGGGGTGTGGCCACAGAACGGATACACTTGGAGCAGGGCATACCAGGAATGGAGAAGGAAAGAACCTAGTGAGTTTAAGGAACTGTTTCCAGCCAGTAAGGCACAAAGATAGCAGTAAGTAGCGAGGATGAGATGACAGGGCCAGTCCTTGAGCACCAGCTTAAGAATGTAAATTTTACTCTGAGTTCCGTGCAAAGGGTTTCTATGAGGGAAGCCAGATAATTCAATTTTTGTTTTAAAGGATCATCTTGACTGTTGTGAGGAACATATGCTGAAGGTGGGCAAGAATGGAAGTCAGATAACCGGTTATGAGGTTATTACAGTAGTCGAGGCAGGTAGCTAGGATCAGAGTGACGGGTGGCAGAATAAATAAATAGATGAGATACATTTGGCAATAAAATCAATATGCTCATCATTGAGAGACAGACGTATCAAAAGAAAAGATCCCCGGGCTGGGGATTTAGCTCAGCGGCAAAGCGCCTGCCTGGCAAGCACAAGGTCGTGAGTTCGGTTCCTGGTACCGGAGAAAAACCAAAAAAAAAAAAAAAAAAAAAGAAAAGATCCCCATGATCATTAAGACGTTCACTATATTTCTTTATTGAAAAGTCTAGAGGGACTTCTAAAATACTACCAGCAAGAGTAACCGGGGATGTACGCACCACTGTCCCCCGTCATCAGGCTCATGTCATTCAGATACACGATGTTGGTGAAGGCCTCTCTTCTTCTCTCCAGCTCCAAGCACAGAGTAAGATATCCAGGCCAGAAACTAAAGAGACCACAGTTGGAGGCAGTTCATGTATCCAAACTATGCTGTGTAATACAGCAATCACTAGCCACATGTGGCTACTTCAATTAATTAAAAATACAGTAAGCCCCCAACTTAGAAACATTTGAGTTGCAAACTTTCACAGGTGCACTGTGTAAGATTCACAGGTCTACTGTGTAAGACTCACTTTGTCGGATTACAAATGAATCTGGAACAGGGAACTTACTGTAAATAAAATTTACAAGTCAATTTTTCAGTTGACCTGTGCATATTTCAAACATTTGATGACCACACGTGGCTATGGCTACCTTATTGGACAGTACAATAGAACATTTCCATTATCACATAGACAACCTTGAGCTAGGACATTTAAGAAAAATGACATATAAAGCCACACACCAATTACAAGGCATTTGAGCTTTATATACTTTGTAAACTTTATGATTCAACATAAAATTAGTATATTTTTTCTCCAAATATGCAAAGCATCGAAGTTCTCCTTGACTCTTCTCCTTCCTTCAAAGACTGGGTAAGAAGTCCCACTGCATCTTCCTTTGAGAATCCTGTGGGCGTGCTCCTCTTGCTGCCCTCCTAGTTACCAACCCAGCATCCCTGAATGAACACCTCTTCCTAGCAGGGTTTCCTGCCCCAACCCTGTGCATGACGACAGACATGATCTCCAGAAGGCTCCACTTTCATTACGTCACTTCTGTACCACAAAGTCTAAAGGGGTCTCTACTGATAACGAAATGCTTCTGCAAAGCTTTCACGGTCTCTCAGGACGTCATCACCCTCCGCCTGGCCAGGCTCACCCCTCACTATCAGTGAACAAAACACGTCCCAAATACCCAGCAGGGTACGAATGAGACACTGTGAGGGGGAAAAGACACAGGTCTCCACAAAACATTATAATCCAGGTAAAACCATGGACAATATCTACACAATAAACAATCTCCTCAAGGGTGATGTAAATAACAAGCACTGTCCATTTTTCAGGCCGTTTCTGGAAATGTTCCTCTCCTCTGACACATCCTCCGCTGGGCTCCATTAGATACAAACCGTCCCCAGCCTGCAGCTCTTACTGCACCTCCAAAGTCTCACCTGTTCCCTGAGTCCTTCCCCAGTGATTCTGCTGATCCCATTCTGATCTCGCCCTTCTTGGAAATCCTTTATGCACTGTAACTGATGTCCAGTGCTTAATTAGATTCTATCTACAGGCCTGAAAACTGGGGCTAGCAACTGAGCAGAGGGCCAATCTCACTTATACCAAAAACTAGGCACAAAACTCAAAATGAAAAGATGTTTACTATCTCTTAAAACAAAAAGGTATGTTCACCTTTAGGTAGTAAATTGAATTGCCAAATGATAATGCACATCAATTCAGGGCCCTAACTATGAGGTTATTCACAAAATGACTCTAATCCCAACTTCAGTTTCTATGGAAATCCTCACTTACCCACAAGACTTACAGATGTCAGTCATTTTCTCTTTAGTTGTAAAATCTGCAGGAAGTTTAATTAGATAAAGGATCAGCTGACTGTAACCCCAGGAAAACAAGTGTGAATGAGGCCTGTATAATGAAAACATCAGTAAATTAGAGAGGAAATAAACTCTACAGAGTACTCACTAGTCACCTAATTGGTAAGAACACAGTTTAATTATATTCTATTATTTCTGTATTTTCTAAACATTTCTATTTGGTTTTTGAAAAATTAAAAATAGCTATTTTTCCTATAATCTCTTCATATTAAGAAACAGTAAGAAGGTAAAAATTTGCTGGGCACTGTGGCACCTAAACTCCCAGCTACTCAAGAGGCTGAGGCAGGAAACTTGTAAATTTGAGGTGAGCCTGGACAACTGAGAGATCCTGTCTCAAAATGAAAAATAAAAAGGGTTAGGGATGTAGCTCAGTGATAAAGTGCCCTGAGTTGGATCCCAGGCACTAAAAGAAAAAAAAAAGAAAGTTAGGGGTAGGGATATACGGCTCAGCAGTACAGTGCTTACCTAGCATGCTAGAAGCTCTGGGTTAATTCCCATTGCCACACATACACAAAACCCTAGATAGTCTAGATAATCAAAAGTAAAAAGAGAAGCCCAAAATTCTGTCACTCATAGCTACCACATATCCTTCTAGACCTTTGCGAGGGAAAAGACAAAGGAGATAGATATTTTGGAGGAGCTTTAGAAAAGTTTACCCTGAAGAAAAATTCAAGGAATACTTCTGATACAAGTGCCAGTGTTTATCTTTTGCAAACTTTATTTTTTAAACCCTAAATCAGGTTATACCTAGAAAACTTTTGAAGTTTTAGAAGTTGAAGTATTAGAAAGGGGCTGGGGATTTAGCTCAGCGGCAAAGTGCCTGCCTGGCAAGCGCAAGGTCATGAGTTCGGTTCCCGGTACCGGAGAAAAATCAAAAAAAAAAGTATTAGAAAACACACACACACGTGGGTTTCTTTCTCTAACACATGTTTTCTCGTTAAGGGCTCTTATGCGGGTCTCTGAGAAAGCTGTCAAGAAGTCAGTTTAACTCTAAAATGTGCAAAACATTCCATGAATGTGCATTTTTCTGGAAGGAATTATCAGATTTTTATAGGATCTGTGACCAAAAATGTTCAGAACTACTAAGAAGTATATACGAGCTCATTAGTATGACTTGGGTCAGTCTCCTCCACAGCGATTCCTAATGAGGGCGCAGAACGGTATATGTGAATAAACCGGCTGCATTCTAAAGCAAGGTCAGTGCACAGTTCATAGAAAAAGATCTTCTTCCTTACCTGGGGTACCCATCATCATCCATAGTACTAGTGCTTGGTGGAGCATCGTGGGACACTGCCAAAAGTAGCCAATCTAATCTCAAGGACTCTGGTTGTAGAAGGGACTCTAGGAAAGATGACCTGAGAGAAAATTGAGGAGAAAAGTCACCAATCTTCACGAGAAAAAACATAAAGTATAGGGGTATGAAGAACGTTTGATTATGGGATTAGTACAATAGATGAAAATCACTTGAAAATTCTTCTATTGAAAAATGTCTAGAAATGCTGGTGAAAATTTTAGTCTAGAAGCCAACCATGGTGGCTCATGCCTGTAATCCCAGTACTTGGGAGGCTGAGACAGGAAGACTGCCAGGAGTTTGAGGCCAGCCTGGGCTATAAAGTGAGTTTGAGGCCAGCCTGCACTGCATAGTGAATCCCTGTCTCAAAAAAGAAAAAAAAGAAGAAAAAAGAAAAGAAAATCTTAGTCTTATAAATGAATAACTGAATCCCAGGATAATAAGGAAAAAGTCAAACAGCAGGATGAGGATAAATAAAAATCAGTGTGGCAACCACCCATGGAGAGATTAGAAAATAATGAATCAGCTTGAAAAGAGAAAAGAGCTGGATCTGAAATCTACCCCAAAAAGCTGGGACACTGTCAGCAAAAAGGGGTAGTAGATCCACTCACTGTCAGAGACAAGAAGCTTCTCTGCTTTAGCCTAGGCTCCGATTCAAGGATTTAATTTTGCACTGATGAGCTGAGAATCCCTGAGAGGGAGGGAAAGTAAAGAAGTGTGCTCCGTGCACATTTGAAAAGTGTGCTATGAAGTGTGGCAGAGTGGTACGAGACTGCCCAAACCCTCATGGCCCATAAGAGGTGCCACAACCTTGTGGTAAGCAGCAGGAGAAATGTTCCGCCTGCTGACGAAAGATAAACAATGCACTATCCAAAGAAGGGCAGGTCGATAAATAAGCTCTCCTCACCGCTGGTCTTCAGGTCTTGATTTCACCAAACTGTCCAAATAGGCCAGAAACTGAGCTGGATGATGACGACAAAATTGTGTGATATCCGAAGGCAAGATGGATGGATAAAACCTGGTCAAGGATCGAAGTGCAGATTCCCCAAACCTCTCATATAACCTGTATTGTAAAACAGAACATGTGATGCAAGCCCAGCCAGGAAACTTCGCAACTTATTGAGACTCTGTCTCACAAGGTGGGGGGCTGCTGATATGTAGCTCAGTGTAAAGGTCCTGGATTCAATCCTCAGTATCGTAAATAAATACATACATAAATACAGAACACATTCGTTTCCAACTTCAGTAAGATAACGTAATTTGGTTACATTGAGTACTTACTAAAAAGGAAGCTAAATATACAACAAGAAGCTGTCAAATTCAAAAATGAGTAACACTTCAGAAACTAAGACACACAAAAAATGCATGCTTTAGTTCCTGTGAACAACATGTAGGGCAACGTACCGGATAGCATAAGCAATTAACAAAGGACTGTCTAAAGGAACAGAGTCATCCAATAACTGCAATCTTGTCGGTAGATCTCCTTCTTCCATCTCCATATATGTTGGGTTGGAACTTGCCATTTCTAAAAAACAAAGCACATCCTTTTCTCTTCATCTCTTAGCTGCAAATATTCAATTCATGAATACATTCATTCAACCACTATTCATCTTGTGCCTACTTTGCTTACCCACTATATTCAAGGCCTGTTTGTTAAGCACTGTAGCAGAGACCAAAAGAAAAAGAACAAGATGTAATCTCTACTCTAAGGACCTTAAAATCAAACTGAGAGATAAATCATATTGTAATCTGTAAATAGGACAAAGGAGTAGGTAGCAAACACAAATATTACTCTTAAAAATTAGGATCTGAAGCCATATATATCCACCATCAATGCCACAACTGCTCTGTTTTTTTCTAGTAGTAGCCTTCTTTCATCTTAATATCATCATAATTAAAGTAAATTAATTAAATTCAATAAAATTAATTTAAAAATATTTGACCTGGTTTTTTTGGGGGGGGCGCAGGGTTTCTGGTACCAGAAATCGAACTCATGACCTTGCGCTTACCAGGCAGGCGCTGTGCCGCTGAGCTAAATCCCCAGCCCTTGACCTGTTTTTTAAAGTATCAGTACAGCACTCAGAGTAAAGAGACAAAAAAAAAAAGACTCTCGGGCTGGGGATTTAGCTCAGCGGCAAAGCGCCTGCCTGGCAAGCGCAAGGTCGTGAGTTCGGTTCCCGGTACCGGAGAAAAACCAAAAAAAAAAAAAAAAAAAGACTCTCTTATACAGTGTATTAACTATTGTTATTCTTTTTGTTTTGTTATGAAATTTTAATTTTTCATGAAAAAAATCAGTGTGGCAAACATCTATCCTCTCTGAAGGAACGGCTGACTTTGGGGGAAAAGTAAAGCTAAGTTTGGTGAATGAAGTGAGTAAAAATCTGTATGGAACTATTTCTGGTTTTAAAAAAAAGATATGAATCTAAAGTAAAATGAATTTTTTTTCAATTTTCAACTGGCTCTGAAGACTAATCCCAAAGATCAGTTCCAAAAGCCGTCTTTCATACTTACATCGTTAGAAAGGTGGACTGTTCAACAAACCATTTCTAAAAAGCCAACCTCCAGTTTCTGATATATCTGTTTAAAAATGCCAGGTCCCCCCGCCAGTCTTACTGCTTCCATCTGACTGTGTTAGAAAAATAAGCTGAGTCTGGCAAGCTAAGCCAGACTCATCACCTAAGCTAAGTAAGCAGCTGCGCTGTTCAAACTGCCCACCGCCTTGCTCTGGCTGCAAGTGACAGCCACCGCTGCAGCTGATGCACTCTTCCCTGCTGTTCTCCTGGGACCGGGGCTGGGTATGATCACGTAACAGAGACAGAGCAAACTCCCAGTAAGTAATACCGTCACACCTTCAACCTATTTTAAAAGAAGTAACTCATTTCTTATCTCCCATAAAACACAATCTACCTCAACTCAGAAAAATAATCTAAAATCATTTCTTGTGCTTTTTTTAACTGCTGTGAATGGAAACAGAACTGTAACTATAGATGCTTGTTTCTAGAAAGCTAAAAGATCATTAAAATCAGATAATATAAAAGTGTTATTTCCACCTGGCAATTCACTTCGGTAATGAAGGAGAATTTTGTGGACAGCCTAAATCAGTTATTGGAAACATGGCCACTATTAATCAAGCAATGAACATTCGATTCTTCAAAACCTTGAATCCAAAGAATTCTGAAGAAAAATTACCTCTTCAAAAACAAAAATACAGTGGTAGAAAGGGTGACACATGGCCTTTCGGGTATGACGCCACACGTCTATATCAGAATGAAAAAACGGTATGACCTTCAGTCAAGTCTGAGGTAAACTGCTGCTGGCTGAGCACCAGTTTTGGAGCCACACAGGCCAGCTTTTTCCCCACGTTCTCCTCCTCCTGGACAGATGGATAGGTCACACTTCTCAACCTGGTCTCCAGTCAGTAGGGCCACAAGAAAGATTCTCACGAATGGAATGTGAACGGGGACGAGGTACGCTGCTCCAGGCCAGGCCTGTCAGACAGCATGTTCATGTGCCTTTCCCTGGACACAGCGAGCTAACCTCTCCCACAAGCCCGAAAGGGGCAGACCTTAAAATGCTGTACTACTACATGTAATTGACCTAGAACCACTGCCTGGTACTGCTACATGAGCAAGATATAAACTTCTATTATATCTGAACTATTACATTGCAATATATTTATTACAAAAGTTTAGCCTACTCAACCAGTGTGATCCCTGTGCCTCAGTTTCCACGTCTAAAAATGGAATCACACCATCTATGCTAAAGATTGGGGTCAGGGTAAAACGAGATAATACCTAAAACTGTTCACTATCTCATACGGCACGAAGTACACCCAATCTACAGTACAGACAACTTCTAAGTTCCATGAAAGCTTTTCTTGTTTGTATATATCTACATTTATAAATATTTTACTAACCCCACAGCTTCAACATTGCTGTATCATTTTTTTCAACGTGACTGTGAGGAAAATAAAACTAGTTTCCTATACTAGAGTTGCAAATTAAACCAATGTTTAAAGAACTATTAAAATGAGTGAAACCCAGAATGGGTGGCTGACCAGAACATAAGTGATTTTTCTACTTCAATCATTTTTTAAACCCCAAACTTCCAAAATTATTCTGTTCTATTAATTTCTATTTGTGATAAGGCAATTTGATGTTTACCTTTCAATCCTTCAATAAAAGTATCCCAAACACAGGGGCTGCTAGGATAACTAAGCTTGATACTCTCCTTTGCTCTGTTCAAGTCCAGGAGAAAAAAGTACTTCTTTAGGAACTGACAAGCCAGAATTTCAGGAGGGCGCTGTTGCAAAGTGCGGTCTGCATGTCCACCCGTGCTTCTGATAGCAGAATTCAATACATCCAATTCCAAACACAATGCGGTCAGTTCAGCCAGGTCCTTCTGAAGGCTTGTTGGTATGGCGCACGGAGGACACACCTGAAAAATGTCATCCAAAGGCTCCCCTGGACTACTTACGGATTCACATGCTACTGGGTCAACAGTTTCTCCGTTGTTTAAAGAGTCTCTTTTTTCTCCTTCATAATCTTCACCTAATACTCTCTTTTTTGATTCATCAGGCAATGGCACATCCTGGTTCAGTTTCACTGGTGAGGTGTCAGTATCGGAAGTACTTGAAACACCCATGATGGCAAATGTTCTTTCTAAGTGTGACAGCCACTCTTGTAAAACAACTCGCAGAGACCGGGGTTCAAACAAAACCAAAGGGTCCAGTAGCTTGGTCCTATACAAAACAGGTAAGTTGAAATTTAGATTGCATGTACTTTTTAAAATAATTTCTTACTAAACAAACTTAACTAATTAAATGTACTCGTTTGGAAAAATGCTTTTTTTTAAATAACAATTATCTCAGAAACTTTTTTTTGTTTTCTTTTGTTCTTTTTTCCAGTATCGGGAATCGAACTCATGACCTTACACTTTCCAGGCAGGCACTGTGCCACTGAGCTAAATCCCCAGCCCCTAAATAACAATTATCTTAGCAAGGCAAGAAAATAGGAAACACTGACTTTCAGTTTGTTACTAATTCAATTTTGACTGCAAATAAGACTATCTCTGTCCCAGACTCAGACTCCTACTGATGATCTGCCAAGGCCACCCTAATTCACTACAAAACTCTGATCCGCACTCACATTGCTTCTGCTGTTGCTGCTGTGAGCTCTTGCAACCTGTCTTCTTGTGGGGGTTGACTAGTTACTTCTTTTTTCTCTCTAGAAAAATGTGAAAAATAAAAACAATATTCAAATGAGTTACCAGGGGTCAGGGCTTGCTTTTTTTGTTTTTTTTGTTTGTTTGTTTGTTTTTTATTTTTTTCTTTTTCAGAACTTTCTTAAACATTTCTACACACTTAGTAGTTAGGAGGTATTGTATTTCACTATTTCATGCTACATGTTACACTGCCTAAAGGGGCCGTTTTCTTTTTCATTGTCCTCCTGCTATTCCCTTTATTGACTCACCTAACAATACCATCTCCCAGACCTTACGAGTCCGAGAGCATTAGTGATTTACAGTTACACACTAGTCAGAAGCAGAGCTAGCACAAAGTCTAGATCCTTGGTAAACTACTCTAAATCTAACACTCTGCCACCCTGGAAATCTGACAAGGTTATGGGGAGCGGGAGCTGCGTTATGCAGGGGAAAGACGGAAGAAGTACCAAATTAAAACTCTGTTTCAGCAGTTTAGCTATGGATTGATGTCATTTTTCAAAACTGTGTGGAATTCACTGTATTTATGAGCTGTACAATAATCTTCAATGGATGGGGCCAAACATGTGCTCTCTCCAACAGGACGCAGCCCATGGCCCTCTTTACAGTGACAGCCAGCTCCTCCGGCATTTACAGATTTGTACCGTATATAAGGGCTTACTCAGTGTCTTCTTCCTGTGGGCAGATAACTGAACTCACTTCCTCTTCGTGAGACGGATCATCCTCCCTGGCTTCTGGTCTCACTTTCAGCTCGGGGCTTGTGTGAAGGGTACCAATTTTCTCGGTTGTTTTACGCACAAAGCTAGAAACACTGGGAATCAAATACCAAATACCAAAAAACACGGAGAAAAAAATCTCATTACTGCCAAGAATAAAAAACTAAGTACCTGAGTTTTTAATGTTTTTGTTAGTCCCAGAAAGTCAGCTTAGACTTAATAAAGACTCTATTTATAGCAATATCTCTAATCACCTATATGTTTTACTTTCACATAAAGCCCCTTAAAAATTTATAATATGATTCACTTCATTTACTAATATGCTATAAGAAACCAATAATTCAGTGCTAAAGAGAAAGATTTTAATTCTAGCGGTGTCTCTGATGTTTCTATCAGCTTAGACAACATAAGCCATGTGATCATCAGTCCCATCCTCGTCAGAGAATAACAAAGAATTTCTTCATGAAACATAGCTTCCTCAACTCACAATATAACTATTCACAACATAACCTTCCAGAGGAGCAAAACTTGTATCCAGTAAAACTCAGATATGCAGTTAAATAGCTGCACAAAGCCTTCTCAAACTCAAATGCCACTACTGGTCCTATGGTATAGGTAGAAAAAACCTGTTAATTCCCCATTCTGACCCCAAACTGGGGAAGGACCAATAAATGACTATTAATGCATGGAAAATGCTCCCAGGGTTGAGAAAAAAACAGGTTTAGGGACAGGGATATCACTCAATGGCATAGTGCCTGCCTGGCAAGAACGAGGTCCTGAGTTCGGCTTCTGGTACAAAAAAAGGAAAACAGACTTAAATTTTTGCTCTTTCTAAGAAAAAAGGATCACTTCTATAACTCAAATATTCAGCTACTCAAACAAAGAGTAAAGTCAAATTCTGCAAGGTTGAAATGAGAAGGTAATAGTTTTACATAACAAGTTATAGGAGAAAAAACACAAAGACTTTCTATTTCAGTGAAAATGTCTTTCCATTCTTACTACAAGCTACCATGACAACTGAAGTAAAATCCAAAATGGGATTAGTTGACAAGACTAATTGGTTTACCTGTCTTTGACTGCCTGAAGAGACACAAGAGGAGATGGAGAACGAAATGATAATGGGATGCCGAAGGGGAGAAAAGTTTCATTCTTATCTGTCTCAAACGGCACTGGAACATGAGAAACATTGTCTAATGAATGGAATTGGGAGGGGAAAAAACAAAATCTAATCATAGGGAAGTTTTTTTTTTTAAACTTTAAAGGAATTCTCAAATGAATAAACCAAAGGAAATGAAGAATTCAAACCAAAATCACACAGACCCATATACAAATGAGCACAGAATACAGATTTACAAGATGCACAGGATGGTCCACATAAAGTACTTAGGCAGGTATGCTCATTTGCTTACTAATCCTGAGTAAGACTTTATGTCAAAAAGAACTTTAAGGCTGGGGATACAGCTCAGCGGCATAAGCACTTGCCTGGCAAGTGCAAGGTCCTGAGTTCGATTCCTGGTACCAAAAAAAAAAGAACTTTAAAATCTCTAATACTCTCTTCTTAACAGTTCAATCACAGGAATAGTTGAACATTGTAAAGGGAAGGTAATGGCTCATAAAACAGTAGCAATTTTTCATTCCTGATGGAAAATAATTTGGTTAGTGAGGATACTACTCTTCTGGTTAATAAGTTTTCTTGATCTCTCCAGCACTTTGATACATGACCAAAATCAGGGGCTCTATCAATGTTAGCCCAACATGAGGTTAAAAAATAAAACAAACAGGGCTAGGGATATAGCTCAGTGGTAGAGTGCTTGCCTAGCATGCACAAGGCCCTGAGTTCAATCCTCAGTACCAAAAAAAAGAAAAAAATCAATCAATCAATCGAACAAAAACTCAACATAAAGTCACTCTTCCAGTAATCAGCAAATCTACAGGCCTAGATGAAAAGTTATCATCAACATGCTAAAAAGTATTCACATCTTACAGAAACTCTAAGCCTAAGACAATCCTGGTAAGAGGAACTCAGAAAACAAATTATCATCAGCAACCAACAAGAGACATATTCACCACCTTCATTTCCCTGTGAGCCACAGTCCTGGTCTGGCTGATCCTCTTCTGGATGTGAAGTGAATTCTTTAAGTCTCTCATCTTCTGAGAAAGTCTGGCTGTGAAGGGAGCAAGAATCTTCATCTGACTGACTGCCTCTTCTACTACTAATGATACGATAAATACCAGAGTCCAAGATGCTAAAACTTTCCTAAAAATGAAAAAGAATTCCAAAGAAAAACAAAGTAAAATCTTCTTTTGTAACACAATACAGCTTTTACAAAGAAACATCAATACTAAAGTAGAAAGTCCATAAAAACAATTATGGCAGGTGAAAACTATGTAGGTGCCTGGCAGCTGGTGTCTCTCCTGTGTTAGCGGCATCGTGCTGTGTATTTTTCTAGACTGTTGCACAAAGTGTGGCCGTCGGAATGGGGATTAAGTGAGACAAACCTTTTTTTTTTTTTTTTCTCAGGTGCCGGGAATTGAACTCACGACCTTGCGCTTGCCAGGCAGTTGCTGCGCCGCTGAGCTAAATCCCCAGGCCCTAGTGAGACAAACCTGAGCTGTACTGAGACTCAGATTAGCATGAAGCATCTGAAACCACAAATTAGGAGCAGCCTAGCTTGTGCTGGAGGTTATATGAGGTATATTTAAGAACAGAAAATAATAACCATAAAACATAACAAAATGCAGCTCAACACACCTAGGTTTCACCCAGTCGTCCATCAGCTGAAAGAAAGTCCCTCTCATATAGTTGAGATCTTAAATGTCCCCTGAAGGCCCATGTGTTGAGGGTTTGGTCACCAGCCTGTGACACTACTGAGAGGGGGTGAAATCTTCAGGAGGTTGGGCCTAGTGACAGTCAGGTTGTTGGGGGTGGGAAGGTGATGCCTCTAAAGGTGGTACTAGGATCCCAGCCTCATTCTATTTCTCTCCTTGCTTCCTGGCTGCCCTGCCATGAACAGTTTTTGCTCTACCACATGCTCCCCGCCACTATGTTCTGCCTCACCATTCATCCAAACACCATCAATCAACCATGGTTTAAAACTTGTAATAAAAATAAGCTTTTCCTCCTACAAGTTGTTTATCCCAGGTATTTTATCATAGCGATAGAATGCTGACTCTGAAAAAAAGTACTATATGGAAAGGAAAATTTAGTATCCTCTGGGTAAATGAGTACAGTTGAAGGTGAAGCAATTTTATTCCATAACAAAGCCCTTTTAAAAGTGAGAATACAGGGCTGGGGATTTAGCTCAGTGGCAAAGCGCAAGGTCATGAAGAAGAAGAAAAACAGAAAAAAACAAACAAACAAAATAAATAAATAAATAAAAGTGAGAATACAGCTAGGCAAAGGAGCACACACCTATAATTCCAGCACTTTGGGAGGCTAAAGCATGGGGATCCCAATTTCAAGCCCAGCATGGGCAACTTAGTGACTTTAGCAAGACCTTGTCTTAAAAAAAAAAAAAAAAAAAAGGCTGAGGATGTAGCTGTGTGCAGAGATTCTGGGTTTAATCCCTAGTACTGAAAAAATAAAGTAAGAATACTTACATGTGATGAAATGGAGCTTCTTCTACTGCTGCAAGCTGAATCCAAAGGTTCAAATTTTAATATCAATTCATCCACTTGAGAAATTAGGTCACTATAGGTTGCAGGGTCCAGCTGAGATTTCAAATGCTCCAATTTATCTACTGTCAAAGTTTTTCTTGCCTAATAAAAGGACAAGTAAAATCTCAATGGACTAGTTTAATGTTTGTAACTAAATCTATATACAAATAGGCAATATACAGAAAGATGTTTAACACAGAAAATAAATTTTTTAGGTGCTTTTAAAAGACTTAGCAAGTTAGTGGAAGATTCAGAAATCAGAATTAACTAAGGAATAAGGAATTTAAGAGTTACCATATACAATCATCTCCCCTAAAAACAAGTTCTGAAATTTATATAAATTTGTGAGTAAATGTAATATTTTTTTTAACTTAATACATTTTAAAACACAGAAAGTGTACCTTCTTCCTTACCCTCTATACACTCCTAAATATCCATTGTGTTTTCTTTTGAAGATTGATTGCCATATCTATAGCTCATATACAAGACCCAATAAAGACAAGCAACTCTGTAAGACAGCCCTACAAGCTACGGTGGTGTTACCAACCCATGCTGAACATGTACAGGTAAGCTCTGACTCACTTTGCTGGCGATGATGGAATTTTGGAAAAGACAGCATGTGTGAGCAGCCAGGACCCACAGGCCTCTCCGCAGCAGGCGTTCCACACAGCGCTCCACAGACAGCAGGGAGAGACGCGAGACTTTCCCATTCAGGTGCAAGCAGAACAGCTCATTCTTGCAGACAGCCACATCCTGAATACCTACAAATCCACGGGAGGGGGAACACACAGCAAGTGAACTGAATACCCCTCTTCCATTTTTGCAAGGGCTGAACTTATTCTAATAAATTCATTTTTTTAAAGTTCAGCTTAACTGAATTTCATCTCTATTTTTCTACCCTATTTCTGTACTTGTATATCAGTGAAGAAACATGATTTAGGCATTGTTCTAGAAATATCAGGAATAAAAGATATGGAGAAAGAACCATATCCCTCTAGTTTAAAACCCTGTGTTTCAAACGCTATTTTCTAGCTGGGCCTGGTGCTGTACACCTGCAATCTGAGCATTTGCAAGGCAGGAGGGTCATGAGTCTGAGCTCAGCCTTGGCTATATGTGACCCTGTCTCAAAAAATAAATAAAATGCTATTTTCTGAAAAGAAATCTGGCATATAAAAGGTAATCTACATTACCTTTCATTTATATAAATTTATATAAATAATTATTTATATAAATTTATATAAATAATTATTTATTAATAATTAATATTAATAATTTATTAATAATTATATAAATAATTATTTATATAAATTTATTTTTATAAAAGGTAATCTACATTACCATTAGAGGTCAGACTATAATGTTACTGAGAGCTACAACCCAATGTTCAGTGAATGGGTTTTGACCCAGTGTATAAATCGATCAACAATTCATGAAGAAATATCTGTCTCTGGCAGAACATCTTAAAAAGACTTAAACTAGTTTCCAAGGACATCCTTAAGGAATTTAATCCACAAACAATCAATGTTGATCTGACCAGTAAGTAATGCTTTCTCTCTTTCTTGGTCTCTCTTTTTCTTATAAACTAGAAAAAGACCCAAAAAGCCATACACTTTTTAACTAAGCAGCAGAGCTAAAAAAAAAAAAAAAAGCTACATTTTCTGCATTACTGGTTTTAACCAAAAAATACAGATTGATTTTTATGTGTTATATACCATGAATACTGTTCCCTGTATTTTCAACTTCTTCACAATTAAATTTCACAAGTAATTATGAGATTAAAAATTTGAGAAAAATAATAATTACCTTTGACTTCACTCCAGAGAAGAACTTGAACATTCTGAGGAATAAAAATGTAAATTCCTTTTTCTGTCCAAGTCAGCACACAATGCTCACTACAGGAGAAAACGTCAAAAGAACTCAAGTTTGCTAGGATATAGAAGTTTATGATATAATTCTCTGAATTCAGATCCTTTCATTAAAGTAAAATCAGAGCCAGGGATACAGCTCAGTGGCATAGTGCCTGCCTGGCAAGCATAAGGTCCTGAGTTTGCTTCCCAGTAGAAGGAAGGCAGGCAGGCAGGCAGGGAGGGAGGGAGGAAAGAAAGAAAGCTCAGACTGTATAAAGAAAACACAATAGGGACCCAGCGAAGTAAGTCTTAACATTTCCTTTATGTCTGTAACTGCCACAAAAATAAATAAATAAAGGCACACGATAACGTCAAATGAGACAGACACTACGTATCTTCTAGAAAAAGAAAAAGCTACTATCTAGAAAAAGAAAGGCTTCAGCACTCTGGAGGTTGAGGAGGGAGAATTGCTGTGAGTTTGAGGCCAGCCTAGGCTATGGAGTGAATTCAAGGCCAGAATGGACTACATAGGCCTTGTCTCAAGAGGAAGGGAAGGGAAGGGAAGGGGAGGGGAGGGGAGGGAAGGGGAGGGAAGAGAAATAAGACAAGAAAATACAAGGCAATACAAGGCAAGACAAGGCAAGACAAGGCAAGAGAAGGCAAGAAAAAGAAAGCAGTCACAGTTCCGTATTAGATATGACAGGCTCACTTAAAGACTAACATCCCCAGCCAATCCCTGCTCGCAGCCACTTCTAGGAAAAGTGATATTCTAACTTTGTTAGTTGTGGTCAGCTACGTCCAGGAGCTTTATTAAGAGTTCTCTTAGCTAACATTATAGCAGGCCATCAAGTGGAAGTGTCACTGTTATTTTATAAAAGAGAAAACTGACCTCAGTGAAATGAAATAATATGCCTAAGGTCATTCAGCAGGAAGGCAGAAGAGTCAGAATTGATACCAAGGACGGTCTGGCTCCAGAACCCGAACTTTTCTCTTTATATGTGACAGACTCTCCTACCTCCCTCTTTTATCCTCACTAGCCTACCCAGTTATCTGGGGTCCCAGTCATTCCATTTTACTGAATTCTCAAGTAATAGATTTCCTCACCGCCTTCATCAACAACCTTCATCATTTCTCATCTTCCTCCTTCCCTCCTCCCTCCTTCCCTTTCTTCTTTTCGCAGCCCAGGCTGACCTGGAACTCACTGCATAGCCCAGGTTGGTCTTCTCCTGCCTTAACCACCCAAGTGCTGGGTTACAGACACGTGCCAGCACACCCAGCTTCATTTCCCATTTTCCTGACTCCCAAGAATAGAACCGTTTGCTCCTTCCTTTGCCTCCCCAGGGTCTGCGATACTTTCTGGGTTTTGCACCTGCCTTTCAGGTGCTCTGGTATTCTCCAATTCTGCTCCTCCTTTTGTGCACACTTACTCACACAGATATGAGTATATCTCATATACCTCACTCATTTTCTCGAGGTTACTTATTTTTATATACCACTAAAGATCTCCCCTCCCCTGCCCTCTCTCTCTCCTTCCTTTCTTTTCTTTTCCTTTCTTTTTCTTTCTTTTTTTCTTTTCTTTCTTTCTCTCTTTCTCTCTCTCTCTCTTTCTTTCTTTCTCTTTCCCCCTTGTCTTTCAGCACTGGGGACTGAACCCAGGGAGTACTAAGCTATATCCCCAGCCCTTTCTGTTATTGTATTTTGAGACGAAGTATTGCTAAATTGCCCAGGCTGACCTCGAACTTGTGACCCTCCTACCTTGGCCTGATAATCTCTTGTTATACCTGGTGAGGACATTCCCCAACTGTTACAGCTTGTGTTTAGATGCCCCCTAAAGTCTCATGTAGTCCATGTAGTCACACATGGGGCTTTTTCAGGGGTGGCTGAGTATGGAGTGTGTGACTGATTCATGGTGCAGCGCTAGGCTTAAGGGCGCTAGGATTAAAGGTGAGTGATTACTAAATCAGTCCACTGCTTGGTTTGGCACCGCCCTTATCCCCAGTAGCCTGATACAACATACAGGACAGAAAGAGGCTTGTCTTGTCTCTTGCTTGCTTTGCTACCTTCTGTGGTGCTTGAGTGGATATTCATAATGCTGTGAAAGAGTGGTGACGACAGAGCCAGAAATAAAGTCTGACGACACTACATGGGCACAAGTGTCTAACCCAAGCCTACTGAAGAATTCAGCAAAGGCAGTGGCATGAATTACTGATTAAACTGAGGAGTAGGCAAAGCTGTATCATGACTTTGTCTGCCATGCCAGAGAGTGTAACAGGAGCTTTGAATAACCAAACTCTAATGAATAACTTTACCAGGGGTATCACGCATATACCTGAGAAAGAATGTTTTCTAATATGTAGCCAGACCACAGAACCACACTATCACGCCGTGCATCACATCACAGTCAACGATACTTTTTAGGTGTCTACCATGTGCTGGGTACCAGGCCAAGCAGTGAGATAACTAAAGAGAACAGCCCAAAAAAAGCCTTCATTGAGCTAACTGTTTAGGAGGCAAACAGGAATACTATATAAATACGTAATTAGAAACTGTGATAAATGTCACAAAGGAAGATACTAACAGAGGAAGATTTTTCAATATGCTTCAAATAATTATGGGCAAGTAAATAGCTGTCTTTCTTCTGTAACTTCCAGAATGAATTACAGATTTATTGGAGTGTTAAAATATCTATAATTCACCTTTTTGGGGGGATGTGTGTAGTACTGGAGAATGAACCCAGGGCCTTCACACTGAGCCAAAAACTCAGCCTGTTTTTGTTTGTTTGTTTGTCTGTTTTGGAGACAAGGTCTCACTCAGTTGCCAACTTGCCCAGGCTGCCTTGATTTGAATCTTCCTGCCTAGCCTTCCAGAGTGCTGGCATTACAGGCATGTGGCACCATACCTGGCTACAACTCACTTTTAAATACTTTGGTGTAGGTTGTGTAACACAAACACGAGTTAATTTTTATCTTTACCCGCGGGTGCAACTAGTTAACATGTCAACCATTTTTTTAAATATCACATTCAAGAGCAGTTAGTCTTTGAAAACCAAACCAGGAGTCCACACTCTGTGTGTCCTACAAAAACCTCTAAATAACATTGTCAGTCTGTTTTTGAGATCTTATTAATTAGCAAAACAAATTGGAAATAACTTTTTCTGGTGAGATAAGTAGAGCTCAAGGGAACAAACTGCCCAGAAATACACTGTACTCCTACCCTTACAGAGTGAAGTATAAGAACTGGCAACCCTAGCAGCTGACAACCTCTGGTGTGACTCCCTGGTTGTCACTTAATAGTGGGTTTTGCACCTAATGCAACTAGAAGGCTAAATAAACCCTGAAAACAGACTATGACTGAGACTGTCGTGAGCAGATCTTTCTTTTCATTTATAATACTTGTCAGAGAACTTAAGGGCAAAGGGCTGAAATTTTACCAAGCTTCCAAGAACAAGGTCTACAGTTATTTTTGTACCTGCTTGCTAATAAACACACATCTATCTGAGAGATTTCAGTCTGGACTTGCTTTTCTTTTTTGGGTTTTTTTGTTTTTGTTTTGTTTGGTACCAGGAATCAAACTCAGGAACTTTTGCTTGCTAGTAGGTGCTGTGCCACTGAGCTATATCCCCAGCCCCTGTTTTTGTTTTTTTCTTTTCTTTTTTTTTTTTTTTGAGACAGGGTTTTGCTATGCAATTCAGGCTGACATTGAACTCACTTTGTAGTCCAGTCTGATCTCAAACTTGCAGCAATCCTCCTGCCTCAGCCTCTTGAGTGCTGGGATTACAGGCAAGCACCACCACGCCCAGCCTTGGACTTGCTTTCATTATAGCATCTTACCAGGTAAGAGAGGTTATAAGAGAATGAGTACTGCAGCTGTCAACTCTATTAACAGTCAGAAGTTGTCTGACAATTATAAAGTCTCCAACTGGTTTGGAAGGAATATTTTCATTCCTACTCTATAAAGAACACTTCATATAACATAATAATTCCCTAATTTTCCAAAAGTAGTTTAGTGTTAAAACAATCTTCAAAAGCTAACTGGAAGGGCTGGGTATGTGGAGTACACTGGTAGTCCCAGCTACTTCAGCGGTTGAGGCAGAGGGACCACAGGAGTCCCGGTGTGGAGGCCAGCCTGAGCAACATAGTGAGACTCCAAAAAACCAACCAACCAAACAAACAAAAAAAAGAACAGCTGACAGGGCTAATGGTGCGTGCAAGGCTCTAGGTTCAATTCTCAGCACCACAAAAACAAAAAAACTTTTAAAAGCTAACTGACTGGGGTGTTACTCCAGGACAGAGTGCTGGATTAGCATGCATGAGGCCCTGGGTTTAATCCCAGCACCATTAAAAATCAATGAAAAACAAAACCAAACTTACCTTAGATGCAAGAGTTTGGGGAAAGGCAAAGAGTGGTGGGATCCCACTGTGTGATCATACTGAGGTTCAGATCTAGGAAGCAAACACACCAGTCAAACATAACTTTAAATCACAACATAATTTTAATTTAATCACAACATAAAATTATACTTTTTCAATACTTGTGTAAGGAAAGTTTCACCTCCAAAAAAATCAAAGTGTCTGCCCTTATTCAATTCCCTCTAGTCACAGGAAGAAAATAATTAAAGACATTTTGGTTTCTCTGAATCTTTTTTTTTTTTTAAGGTACTGGAAATTGAACTCAGGACCTTGCGCTTGCCAGGCAGGCATTTGTGCCAATGAGCTATATCCCCAGCCCCGTTTCTCTGAATCTTGTAATAAAAATTCCACTCCAGGGCTAGCAGCATAGCTCAGTGGTAGAGCACTTACCTGGCATGTACAAGGCCCTAGGTTTGATCCCCAGCATGGGGAAAAAAACTGACTTCACTTTTTTTTTTCTGGTGGTACTGGGAATTGAACTCAGGGCCTTCACACTGAGCTACATCCCCACCTTTATCTTTTTTATTTTGTAACATGATCTCTCTGAGTCTCTAAGTTGCCCAGGTTGGCCTCAAACTTGTGATTGTCCTGCTTCAGCCTCCCAGAGTACTAGAATTACAAGTATGCAACACTATGCTCAGCTTGATTTCACTCTTAAAAGGCATAATAAAATATTTAAAACATATAGATTATCAACTACTTAAACCCAATCCTTCCACATAAATTCCTCAAATAATTAAGAATTCAAATAATCCCCATGGGACATGCAAATTCGTACCTTGGAGTGATCACAGGAAGAGGGGGCAACGAGAGGAGTTTCTTGAACTGATGTGTGCTTTTAACTTCCCCATCAAAGCTCACTTCCCACATCCTGGAGCCAGGACGAGCACAGTAGATGAGAGGCTGCTGGCCCCCGGAACACCTTCCAGGGAAGAAACAAGCTCCGTACTCTCCATCTCTTTCCTTGTTTCCAATTTTCCAAAACTTTTCTCTAACATCCAGAAAGGAAAAGGAAGTATGTTTACTTACAAAAAAGTTATGCCACAGGAAGCAAACCTCCTCGCATGAGTACTCGGTTTATTATCGATACAGTGAGGGGCTCAGAATTAATGAGAAGGCTTCATGCAAATTAAAAAGCTGAGTGCTACCAAACCATTTCATACACCCTTGCATCCTCCTGCCCACTTCCCAGGTCACTTTGTACGACGCAGTGTGCTTTGGCCATTCCACTGGGGTGTTAAAACCTCTCCGCCTTGATCTCCAAGCCACTCCCCCTTGTCAAAAGCACCCAGTGAACTCATTCTTTCCTCAAAATGCCTGGTCCTCCTGAAACTCTGTACCTTGAAACATTCCACTCCCTTCAGGTCACATCTATTAGACACGTAAAGGAGTTTAGCACACTTCCTGGGAAAACGGAAGGAAACGCTGATGAGTTTGCCTCTTTCTAAAAACCCATTATTTCTTTTCATGTCTTGGCCTTGTCGTTCTCCCTTAACCCCACACGCTGTTACGTGCTTCCTAACAACGCTTTCACAGCACTTACTACACTGTCTATGGCAATTATGTCTGTCTGAATGGAGATCTTGATTTTTCAAGATAAAGACCATTCCTTATTCCTATTTCCTTTCCAGGAAAGGCCATTCCTTTAGTTGAATGACTAATATACAGTACAGTGTCTGACCGTAAAAAAACACTCAGGGGCTGGGGATATAGCTCAGT